TTGGACCGATAAAGTAGACGAGTTCTCTTACATCCCAACTTTGCGCAAACTCCTTATCCTGGTGTAAAAAAGTTGAAAAAAAATCATATCTAAGCGCTCTAAGCTTTCTTCAATTGTAAAGTGTTTTTTGCGACGATAATACGCTTTTGTTTAATAACTGCAGAACTTTAATCTATCGAACCGATGAAGGAGACGAGATTTCTAACATCCCAATTTTGCTCAAATTCCTTATCCTGGTGTGGAAAAGTTGCAAAAAATTCATATCTACCCGATCTAAACTTTCTTGAATTCGAAAAATATTTTTGGGCCGATAGTACGGTTTCGTTTAATAATTGTAGAACTTTAATATATCGAACCGATGGAGGTGAAGAGTTTTCTAACATCCCAGCTTTGCACAAACTCCTTATCCTGGTGTAAAAAAGTTGAAAAAAATCATATCTCAGCGTTCTAAGCTTTCTTCAATTGTAAACAGTGTTTTTTTGCGACGATAATACGGTTATGTTTAATAATAATAGAACTTCAATATATCGGACCGAGTTCTCTAACATCCCAACTTTGCACATACTTTTTATCCTGGTGTAAAAAAGTTGAAAAAAAATCATATTTAAACGTTCTAAGCTTTCTTCAATTGTAAAATGTTTTTTTGCGACTATAATACGGTTTTGTTTAATATTTATAGAACTTTAATATATCGGACCTATGAAGGAGACGAGTTTTCTAACATCCCAATTTTGCTCAAATTCCTTATCCTGGTGTGGAAAAGTTGAAAAAAATTCATATCTAAGCGCTCTAACCTTTCTTCAATTGTAAAATGTTTTTTGCGACGATAATACGGTTTTGTTTAATATTTATAGAACTTTAATATATCGGACCTATGAAGGAGACGAGTTTTCTGACATCCCAACTTTGCACAAACTCGTTATCCTGGTGTAAAAAAGTTGAAAAAAAAATCATATTTAAGCGTTCTAAGCTTTCTTCAATTGTAAAGTGTTTTTTTGGGCCGATAATACGGTTTTGTTTAATAATTATAGAAATTTAATCTATCGAACCGATGAAGGAGACGAGTTTTCTAACATCCCAATTTTGCTCAAATTCCTTATCCTGGTGTGGAAAAGTTAAAAAAAATTCATATCTACCCGCTCTAAACTTTCTTGAATTCGAAAAATATTTTTGGGCCGATAATACGGTTTCGTTTAATAATTGTAGAACTTTAATATATCGAACCGATAAAGGAGAAGAATTTTCTAACATCCCAATTTTGCTCAAATTCCTTATCCTGGTGTCGAAAAGTTGCAAAAAATTCATATCTACCCGATCTAAACTTTCTTGAATTCGAAAAATATTTTTGCGACGATAATACGGTTTTGTTTAATAACTGCAGAACTTTAATCTATCGAACCGATGAAGGAGACTAGTTTTCTAACATCCCAATTTTGCTCAAATTCCTTATCCTGGTGTAAAAAAGTTGAAAAAATTCATATCCAAGCGCCCTAAACTTTCTTCAATTTTAAAAAGTGTTTTTTCGACGATAATACGGCTTTGTTCAATAATGATATAACTTGAATATGTCGGACCGATAAAGGAGACGAGTTTTCTAACATCCCAACTTTTTACAAACTCCTTATCCTGGTTTAAAAAATTTGAAAACAAAATCATATCTAAGCGGTCTAAGCTTTCTCCTATTGTAAAGTGTTTTTTTGCGACGATAATACGGTGTCGTTTAATAATTGTAGAACTTTAATCTATCGAACCGACGAAGGAGACGAGTTTTCTAACATCCCAATTTTGCACAAATTCCTTATCCTGGTGTAAAAAAGTTGAAAAAATTCATATCTAAGCGCTCTAAGCTTTCTTCAATTGTAAAGTGTTTTTTTGCGACGATAATACGGTTTCGTTTTATAATTGTAGAACTTTAATCTATCGAACCGATAAACGAGACGAGTTTTCTAACATCCCAATTTTGCTCAAATTCCTTATCCTGGTGTGGAAAAGTTTAAAAAAATTCATATCTAACCGCTCTAAACTTTCTTGAATTCGAAAAAGGTTTTTTTGGACCGATAATACGGGTTCCTTGAGTAATTGTAGAACTTTAATATATCGAACCGATGAAAGAGACCAGTTTTCTAACATCCAAACTTTGAACAAACTTCTTGTCCTGATGTAAAAAAGTTGAAAAAAAAATTACATCTAATCGCTCTAAGCTTTCTTCACTTGTAAAGTGTTTTTTTTTGCGACAATAATACGGGTTTGTTTAATAACTGCAGAACTATAATATATCGAACCGATGAAGGAGACGAGTTTTCTAATATCCCAATTTTGCACAAATTCCTTATGCTGGTGTGAAAAAGTTGAAAAAAATTGATATCGAAGCGCTCTAAGCTTTCTTAAATTGTTAAAAGTATTTTGCGCGAATAATTCGGTGTCCTTTAATAATTTTAAAACTTCAATACATCGAACCGATGAAGAAGACAAGATTTCTAAAGTCCTGCTTTATGCAAATTTATTATTTTGGTTTGAAATGGTTGAAAATAATATCATATCTAAGCACTCTTCAATTGGAAAAAGGGTTTTATTGTTCCGATAGCACACAGTTTCACAGTTGCTTGCAGTTTATGATTTGTGCCTGCCATATTTTTACAAAAAAAAGGATTTTAAACAAACGACTGATGGAATTTAGAACGGTTTCTGAGGTTGTTGAGAACATCAAAACAAAGTAAAAAAATTCCTAAAAAGCTAAGCCTTTAATCTTTGATAAACCAACTTGATATTAAAGGAAATGCGCCATGGGATTTGTCATGGGCATCTCATTGTCATTGACATTTTTTCTTGACAGTTTAGCGAATGGTGTTTAAGTTTACATTTTGAATCAAAAGCATCTATCTTAGTTACCGTTTCGCTGTTTAATACATTGCTTTGACATCTTAGTTGTCGTTATTAATCGTGAATAATTAAATTTTGTGTTAATTAAGCACGACATTTTGGACTTTGGCAAAAAACATGCATAAACGTGATAAGAACGAGCCAATGCAGTTTCAATGATAAATTTGAATCCCCCTGCTGGTTCGAGACAGATCTACTTGGGAAGCAGGCCAATTGGCCAAAGAGCCAATTTCATGTTTTACGAACACCAAAAGAGTGTGTTTTTTAGCAAAAAACACTGTTATTTATTACTTTTTATGGTTAAAGAAACAGTTAGGTTGCACCGACTTAACTACGACGAAGTAAATGCATTTAAAATGCATATGATTAGGAAAAACGCGTATTTAACCTACAACTACACGCAAGATAGTTTTTCTTCAAAAGCTATTGGTTTTATCGACATCGAGAAGGTGTATTGGTACTTTCTTTAGTTAAAGGTAGCGTCAAACACGCAATTTTTGCGCCTCTAACGTTGCACAAATGGAAGAAATTACCAGATAAGAACAAAATCAGCAGCGTAATTTTACTCCAACTTTCTCCTATGGTGTAGGCTCGGCTGTGGTTTGGGGTGGAACATGTTTAGGTTCACGAAATGAGGCTATCATTGATTAATTTATCAGTACGTCCCACATAGCAAAATTATATTCCCAGAATATACCTAGAACATTCATGTGATGTACATGCATATTCCTGGGACATACGTGAGTTACATTATGAACATTCCATGCATGTCCCAGGAATCTGTCAGAGTTAATA